AGAATATTTAATTTAGAATTAAAAATAGGCATTAACTAGATGTTTCCTAGTTAACTACCCGTCTAAGCTAGTCTGGAAAAATCTATAAAAAAAAATTCAGCTATCAAAGTGGACCGATCAGGTCCTTTTACCCTGATTCTAAACTTCACAGAGAAACCAAACATCTTCTGTCTCCTTGGCCTGGATTCTTAAATTCCTTCTTCTTCACAAATTCCAAATGTGCTCAAACCTCAAATATTCCCTCCCTCTCCGTTTTCATTCTGAGTCACTGAGATGAAAGGAAAACAATCTTTTCTTTAGCGACTCTCAAGATAAAAATCACGAGGCACTTCAAAAAAACAAAAAATTTTAATATAAAAAAATTCTTCAAGAAAATGATTGAAATGTGTTTAAAATAAGATAAAGAAATAGTGATTACAAATGTAAAGAAAGTGAAAGAGAAGATTAATGGGAAAGACGGAAATCAGTGGATCCTGGGATGGGCAGAGTTGGTAGAAACAGCAGAATAAGGAGAGGGAGGTGATGAAGGTCACACCAAAGCCTGAACAGGTGGGTTTTCAGCTGCTTTTTAAAGGAGACCACTGAGTCCACTGATCTCAGGCTCAGGGGAATGGGGGCCACAGCAGATAATGATCTGCTGATGCTTAATGGAGAGGCTCTGTCTGCTTATTTATTTCTAGATTTGTGACACAAAATGCTGTAGACTGCTGACCATGCCTCTGTATAGCTCATTGGTAATGCTTCCTTTTACAGTCCCCTAATTACTAAGTACTTACATGGTAATTACATAGTAAGTTAAAGTGTAGTATTATGTAATTAAAGTGTATAATTGTAAAAACGTGTAATTATTGTGTAAAACAGTATTTACTGGGAATGATTAATGAAATAAAAACTAGAATTGAACCTGTGTTACATGGTAATAACTGTTTAAGAACTCAGAAACAATAATACACTTTAACTTACTATGTAGTTACCATGTAAGTACTTAGTAATTAGGAGACTGTAAAAGGAAGCGTTACCGATCATTTCATTATTTGAAACCTGAGTAAAACATTTTTTAAATATAATCAGAAAAAAGCCAAGGACTTAAAGAAGACCTCACGCTGGGTGATAATTTTCAGAAGTACTCCATCGGTCATCTCCCAGAGAGGAATAACTCAGCAGCAGCGAGTGTGAGGAAGTGACGCCAGAGCTGTAGCCGTCTCCAGATTCCTCAGATTCTCCCGGCTAGCTGTGATTTTTAACATCCACACTCGCTGTCACTTCTCAGAAGAAAGCAGCATCAAAGAAAGAGCCGTTTACATTTCCTGATGCAATACGAAGAAAAAGAACTGAACAAAACTATACTCGTAGAAAGTAAATAAAAAACAGTAGGCCTTTTTTTTCTAAGAGCATTTCAAAAGATATTTCTTGACAAAGACAAAGCAGCTCATATGGAGCACATTAAAGTCAAAAGGGGAAATGGTTTCATTGGCTGGAAAACATACGGACCCGATTCAAATGTAGTGATCAGCAGATTCACAAACAAATGAATCATTATTGAGCTGGCCGCGTAACAGCACATGCAAACGCATACTCATAAAACCTCCTGGAAGCTCCGCTTGCCCCATCATCTTCCCCCCCACCCCTGTAATCCTCTTACTGCTTTAACTCTGCTGCAGTGGTGACTTGGATCAAGGCATAATTAACCGTGTTGTGTGTCTGCCTTAAAGGAAAGCTCTGCTTTGCTTGCAGATTAAGCTAGAAATCCTGCATAATTGAATTAAGTCCTGTTTGCATAATATGTGAAAGATGAGCCCAGAGCCTTAATATCTCTAGCCCGTGCAGAAATTAGAAAGTAAATTTGGTGAGGACTGTCAAAAGGGGAGAAAGGACCTTGAGCCCTTTTAAAGAAAATGAGCAGACAAAGCAAAGCGAGGAAAACATGTAAATGTAACTTCCTGTTTAGTTTAATCAGCTTTAATCAAGTTATGTAGATTATAAATGCATCAAATCAGTGCAACCACACATCTCAGGCAAGTGTAGCACGGTGGGTCAAAGTAGAAAAAAAAACTTTATTTAAACATGAAGAAACCAGAATAGGTGGAATGAGTCCAAAAGAAGTCATTGGACTCGTTCTGTTCATAACCTTTATGGACAGAATTTCTAGGTGCAGCCGTGGTGTGGAGTGTGTCGAGTTTGGTGGCAGGAGAATCTCGTCTCTGCTTTTTGCGGACGATGTGGTCCTCCTAGCTTCATCCAGCTCTGACCTTCAGCTCTTGCTGGGTAGGTTCGCGGCAGAGTGTGAAGCGGCTGGGATGAGGATCAGCACCTCCAAATCTGAGACCATGGTTCTCGACCGGAAAAGGGTGGCTTGCCAACTCCGGGTCGGGAGAGAGGTCCTACCTCAAGTGGAGGAGTTTAAGTATCTCAGGGCTCAGGGTCTTATTCACGAGTGAGGGTAGGAGGGATCGGGAGGTCGACAGGTGGATTGGTTCGGCATCTGCAGTGATGCGGATGCTCAGCCGATCTGTCGTGAAAGCCAGGCTCTCGATTTACCGGTCGATCCACGTCCCAATCCTCACCTATGGTCATGAGCTTTGGGTAATGACCGAAAGAACGAGATCGGGAATGCAAGTGGCTGAAATGAGTTTCCTCCGTAGGGTGGCCAGGCTCAGCCTTAGAGATAGCGTGAGGAGCTTAGGCATTCAGGAGGGACTCAGAGTAGAACTGCTGCTCCTCCGGATCAAAAGGAGTCAGTTGAGGTGGTTTGGGCATCTGGTTAGGGTTAGGGACGCCTCTCTGAGGAGGTGTTTCAGGCATGTCCTGCCAGCAGGTGGCCCCCGGGTCAACCCAGGACACGTTGGAGAGGTTACATCTCCAATCTTGTCCGGGAACGCCTTGGGGTCCTGCTGGAGGAACTGGTGGAGGTGGCCGGGGAGAGGACGGTCTGGAGCTCCCTAATTAGGATGCTGCCCCCGCAACCTGGACCCGGATAAGCGGAGGAAGACAACGACGACGACGACGAGTCCAAAAGAACAAGTCTGCAGTTCTATAGAAGCTAAATAAAGGATAACGGTAAAGGTGCATGATGTAAGCCTGACATCCAGTGGTCATAACTGGGTACTGCAATCCATGTTTCTAAACAAACCAGTCTGTTGTCAGCAACTGTTCCCAGTTACAGCGCCCGAAGATTCGAGGTGATGAGCAAAGACAAGTCAGACACAGTAAGTCGATAAGTAGATAAGCATGTTTCACTGTAACATGGAGTTCTTGGTGATTGAAAAAAGTATCTTGAGATATTTTTACAGGGTTAGGGTTAGGGTTGTTGACTATGTGTTTCAAATTCACCATTAGCCTTGTTAGCTCAACATTAGCCTCTAGCCTTCTTTATACGATACCAGAGTAAAACAAAAAGATGCCGTGGCCTCTCAGGGGTAGAAGAAATAACTTCTGGGCCACTCCTGTTTACTGTCTTCTATTCTGTCCACAGCTCTGCTGCTCTTTGCTGCAAATGCTAGTGTAAAGCATGTTGAACTGCTTCTGCGTATGGAACATGCTATATAAATAGAGCTACCTTGCGTAGTGCAGACTTTTCAAACCTGCTGGCTCACGGTTCTTAAACAATGACTAATCCGCCTTTGGCCTTTTTAAAAGAAGAGGTAACACTTTACAATAAGGGTTCATTTATTAGCGTTACTTAGGTCGTTATAAAACATTAATAAACAATGGATCCCGTTATTAGCGTTTTTTCTTTTATCTAATAGCACTATCTAGTGGCTGACAAGCATATCGCATCATGACCTACCTACCTTTCCGTATTTAAGGCCGAAAGCAACACCTCTTGTTCATAAACGCACTCCTCTAGCCAATAAAACAGAGCTAAAACATATTGTTTTACAATTATTGTGCTCATGTTATGTTGTGTTTTCATATACTTATACTTTAGAGACTTGTCCACGAGAAAGGTCACCAACTCTCCATCAACCGAGGTACCTCCTTAAACGCTGGAGCATGCTCTGTGATTATTGTCTGTACGTAAGCGGTACGCTAACGCTATTGGTTAGTGCTGACGGGCCCAGTTCATATTGCATTGGGCTCTATGGGACAGGCTTATATCACAGTACATGAAAAACTCTGGATAACAGCTTTAATATAATAAATTAATATGAAGTAGTTGTTAATACTTTAAGTCATAGTTTATAAATGCTTAATATTGCACAAAGTAACATTAATAAAAGGACCTTTATTGCAAATTGTTACCAAAGATGAATACCTATTAACCCAGCTTGGCGAAAGGGAAATCTGTTTTTAATGTAACCTTCCGTGCAACAAGACTGAGACATTAGTCTGTTTTGTGATTATTTCACTGTAAAATTCTTCCTTATTGCACCTTTAATGGCAGCAATAGCATTAAATATAAACATGGACAGTAAAGAGAGAAATCCCAGTGTGTCTTAAGTCCTGAAATCTTTGACCCCTGAATTACTTGTACAGTGATGCTCTTTGGGCTCTCAAATGGCTTCAAACGTAGTGTCAGGTTTTTGTCGTTTGTGAATGAAGCAGCTGTGTTTGGAGATGAGAAACTAATTTTCTTACACAACACAGGGTACAACTGTGTTGATGTATAAAATACAAGGATTAGACCATTATGTTGTAAAAGGGGGTGACTGATGGTGTAATGGTGCAGTCCCAGCACATGTTTTTATGTTCTTTTAAAGAAACCAGGAGTTTTTCATATACACTTATTTCTTTTTAATTATTATTATTACTATTATTATTATTATTATTATTATTATCATCATTATCTTTATTATTATTACTATCATTATTATTATTATTATTATTATTATTATTATTATTATTATTATTATTATTATTACTATTGTTATTATTATTATTATTTATTATTTATTATTGTTATTGTTATTATTATTATCATCATCATTATTATTATTATTATTATTGGCTTGTCGTGACCTTTTGCAAACATTTGGATTATACAGTAACTGATGGCAAAGAGAGGGGTAGAAAAAAGAGAAAAAAATTGGTCAACATCTGCTGGTATGTTGTCCAGATGTGCAACTAAACATCAGTGACACATGCCATGCTTCACAACCTGGACTGTGACCTAAAAGAAAACAACAAAGCACCATTTCATGCATTGTAACTAAGCATTCCTTTTTGATGGATACTTTCCAAAATAAAGTGTAAAACATTATCTCACAACCAAGCACCGTGCAAGGGAAAAGACACAAAGACCATTTCACAAACTAGTTTAAAGAAGTGGAAAGAAATTTGTTTTATTTGTAGAATTGATACATAAAAACCCAAAACAGGACATAAAAACGTCATCATTCGGTGAAAAAAGGGCAACATTTGTTCATCACAACAAAGTGTGGTTTTTAATCAGATTATATAGTTTCTGAAGTATTGAGTCACTTTTCATGTAAAGTGCAAAAATATTTCAACCAAATAATGAACAAAATGTTCTGAAGCAATCTGATAACTCCTTCAGTAAATCCAGGCTTCTGTATAAAACTATGTAATAACTTTTTTCTAAGCCTTAGGTCTGGCTTTATTGTCTTGGCAGCATTTTCACTTTCGTTCTCAGTTACTTCAACTGAAGAGTAATTCGGTGTCTTTACTGGCCTTTAGCAGTCAGTCACATCAGTGGGATTTCATGCAACTTGACTCCTTGAGTGTTTCATAGCTGGAGTTGCTTCAGCATTGCGTTACAGCGTATTGCTGGGGGTGGAGGAGACCGAAGCCTGCTCTCAGCTGCAGGCATCAACAGCAGTGACTCTGGTCCCAAATCTGCTTTTCAGACACAGAGGACTGGTCTAAGAGATCCAGCTGGAGGACTATTGCAGCTGAATGAGGAACTATAGCTTTTTCTTTCAGGTTTTTGCAACTACACATGCACTGCAAGCCCATTTTCTGCAGCTGTGAAATAGTGGTGAGGAAAGCTACTTGCGTTAGTATTAATGCATTTTCGCAGGTTTTGCATGACTGTATGAGTGCTCTTGCCTCATGTTTGTGTTTGCTCTTCTGCTGATGCACAGTGGAGGGTGACTAAGTTTGCATACTTCTGTTTGGCGCTCGAGTCCAAAATCGGAGCACTTTCACTTTGTTCTTTTTCTCAAGCCACTTTTTGATTCTTCTGCACTAATTATCAGATGTTTGCAGCTTTAGATAGAATTTTATTCTTTGTGACATTTGCACTTAAAACACATGAAAATCTTAATACACAACGATGACTTGCAATAAGCAGTTCAGCTGACATGTTTGTTTTGGTAATCAATAACTGCTCTGCTAGCAACAGTTTTCACATTTTGCACAAACAAGATTTTATAGCAATCGCTGTGGACATCTTTAAAATAGTTTAGGTGTCGTGACTCTGTACCTTTCCCTTTAAAACATGTCAAATTCAACGTTTGAATTGCACAGCAACGATTCATTTCTAAGGAATCGTTTTGTGATGTTTATTCTTTCTCCACAGGCAGGTTGCATTAATGGCTCGGGTCAAAGTGTAGTATCTCCTTGCTGAAGCCCCATCCACACGAATGCTCTGTGCACAATGAGTGAGTGTGGCTGCAGCGCTCCATACCTGCGGGGGTGGTTTCTAACAGCTCTGTTGTTGCTGACAGTCGTGCAGCTGTCATGTGCCGAATGCCCCACATCGTGCGTCTGTCATGTTCCCACTGAAGTGCACTGCACCTTCAGACAGCTGACGGCGGTACCTGACCACTTCCCTCCAGCTGTGGAAAAGATTAATCTCGGGTACGTTTTCTTTCCAGCTTTTGGTAGACTAGGCAGCTGCAAACTATAAGGAAGGATACAGGCTATGGTTTCAACCACAGTCTATAAGTAGCTTAATAATAACATTGGCTTTACAAAGAAAGTACTGTTGGCTACTGTGTATCTCTTACCTGGTCCAGGCTATATGTAACCTGTTTACAATGTTAAAACCATTTGATTTACTAGATAACATGGCCTCACGGTCATTTCTGCAGCAATTTAACAAGCGCTAGCGTTGGCTGTTTGCTACCTTGGCAAGCTAATCAAGAATTTGATTAGAGCAGGAAAAGAAAAGTTGACACTCTGGCTGGCCTCCCATTTCTACTCCAAGTGTTTTCTTGTTCTGTAAATGCTACAGAAAGCTGCTCCTGGAGGCTTTTAAAAGACGTGTCTGTTTGTTTTGCAAGGGTTTGCTAGCATGATAGACCCTGTGCACGTAGAGGCACGAGAAAATCAAGAAAAGGGTGGCTTTTTTGTGTGCTAGCTACAGAGAGACTTCCATTTCAGACTGAAAGGCTTCATTTAATTGTAAGATGATTTATTTAAACACTTGGATTTAAACCTGTTCTGCTCACTAAAGAAAATGCACACGAGTGATGCTGATATGATTTCAGTTTTCAGTTTTAAACACCCAAATCTGAAACAGGGCCAATGCATTTGCAGCCACATGCTGGTGTGATTGGCTGTCAGTTCCAGAGATGGGGAATCGTGGCATCAACAAGTCATCTCCATGGTATATGGCCTGTATTTGATACAGCACCTTCTAGAGTCCTGGAACCCCTCAAGGCACTTTACAACACAGTCAGTCATTCACCCATTCACACACATTCACACTGGTGGGGATGAGCTACAATGTAGCCACAGCTGCCCTGGGGCGCACTGACAGAGGCGAGGCTGCCGAGCACTGGTGCTACCGGTCCCTCCGACCACCACCAGCAGGCAACGTGGGTTAAGTGTCTTGCCCAAGGACACAACGACAGCGACAGACTGAGCGGGGCTCGAACCTGCAACCTTCCGATTACGGGGCGAGCACTTAACTCCTGTGCCACCGTCGCCCCACATGCCGTGTTTCTCTTCAGTTCAGCAACTAAATCAGGTGATTTCAATCAGCACTGTGACTGAGCCTTGTTCAGTTGCTGAGCAGAACAACATCAAAGCATGAAGTTGACTTGTTGATGCCACAATTTCCATCTCAGTTTTGACAAGTCGATGCATGTTACAAACCAGCGTTTACAAATCTGCTCACATCCCTGATGAAATGAAGCTAATACGAGTGCGAATGCACCCTCAGGACAGTGGTTTTGTGTAGTCCTGCCTGTTGTTGCCTGTCAGAGAAGTAAAGCCTTAGACAGGCTGATAGTTCAAGTCAGGACCTTTACCTGAAGCGTCTCCTTCAAAATAATGTAGCTTTACACCACTTATTTATGAAAGAATTAAAATACAGAATGATTATAATCTAGATGCACCAGCGGTTGAAGTCGCACAGTAAAACGTTCACATGTCAGATATTTATATTAATATACATTCTCTAAAGGACAATGTCAGTGTATTGAATTGGCAATACGCCTTTAACTTTGGTTGTGTCAGCTGTTCTAGGTTGAAATTGTTTCCTAAATTTGCCATAACAGCTTTAACCGAAGACATTTTATTTCGAAAACCTCTTCAGAAAATCTGTGTTGTAGCTTTTTTAAGAAGTCGGAATATTTTTGTATATTTAGCAAACATGTTAATTATGAGACTAAGTTGATTTATTGTATTTTGTTGGATTTTTTTGTGCTAGGTACAACCGTATAACTTTCTTGAGAGAAACAGATCTTTCAGAGCTTGAGAAGTTGGAACTGCTCATGGTTCATAGCAACAGTATACACGGCATTGAAGACAAATCCTTCAAAGAACTCAGATCTTTACAGGTAAAACTCTGTCCTTTTCCCATTGAAGTAATTATACTGCATTGTCTATTTTACAATATTACTTTAAATAACAGGATGTGCATGGTTGTATACAGAAATAAAGGGAATGGTTGAGTCTAAAACAATGCATGCCTCGTTTTCTTTTAACTGGTCTGTCACAGGTCCTCAAGCTGTCAAACAACAGACTGAAGAGAATCAAGAAAGAGACTTTTAAAGGCCTCACCAGTCTCCTCAGACTACACTTGGACCACAACCACATTGACTTTATCAGCCCAGAGGCTTTCTACGGCCTGACCAACTTGCAACTGGTCCATCTGGAGGGGAACCAGCTCCAACAGCTCCACTCAGACACATTCATCACCATGAGACACAGCCAGGTTTTCAAATGGTCCACAGTAAGAACCATCCACCTGTCCGAAAATCTCCTCGAGACTTTGCCAGAAGATATTTTCTCAGGCTGCAGCCAATTAGAGAACCTCTTCCTCAATGACAATCCTTGGATGTGTGATTGTCGTATGAAGTGGTTGTCGGCGTGGGTACAAAAGAATGATGGTGAGAGGTTTTCATCTGTGGTTTTAAGCCTTTTGCTCTTTGATTTGATGCATGCTGTCTTACATGAGGTAAAAGACACGACTTGCAGCTTTTATTCCTGACTTTGCTTTTATAGAAAGGAAAGCATAACTTACTAATTTTGCATGACTGTAGTAATCTTTACCGTTTCACATCTTTTTCAGTTCAGTTTTGATTCGGTTTGGCCTCTTATGTGAAAACTATAAATGTTCTTTTCCTCCCCATAGCCAACTAAATGCTACACCACTTGATAACTGTTTCCAGGTGTTCTGAAATGCAAGCGAGACAGAAGACATCCAAGAGGCCAGCTGTGTCCTGTTTGTGAAAATCCAGCCCCTCACCACAGCAGACCTCTATCCCAGCTCCAAAGCGACGCCTTTACTTGTATCAAACCATGGATCGAACCCCATCTAAAGCACAAAAACATAAGCCTGGAAGAGGGGGCATTCACACCAGTTTCCCCCAATGACTTTATAGCCCCATTAGGCTCCATACATATGAGTTTGACTGACCAGTTTCACAATGATGCCAGTTTATCTTGTACGGTCCAGAGGCCTACTGCGTTTGAAAACCTGACACAATCCTTTAAAGAGGAAGAGGGGAAAAATGTCACAGTGCTTACATCTGGTATAACAACATACTTTGTTTGTAACGTTGACTATGAACAAATTAAACAGCTGTGGCAGATCCTGGCCACCTACAGCGACTCTCCCATGAGGCTACAAAGAGGTTCAATGGTGGCCAGAACACCTGAAATGATCTACAGATATAGTCAAGTAAAGGATGGAGAGAAGGAATTTACCACAAACATCGAGGCTGAATTTAAAGCCTCTCCTGATTGGTTAATGCAGGAAGACGTGAGCCTCCAGCTTGACCGTACTACTACCACCTATTCGGCTCTGCATATTAAGTACCAGTCTGTGGTCAACCTACAAGTTGAGAGTAAACCATCTAAAAAGGACCACTATTCCTGGACGATGATTAAACGAGACAATCAAACCAAGACTGAACACACTGTCATTACAGGTGGGAGCAAAATCCTTCGCTATTTGGTTAGTTTGTACATTTTTAAAGTATTCATTTTTTTATTTCAAATCTTGTAATTGTAATCCGAATACCTTAATTTCTGTTAAACAAAATACTTTTTGACATAGGTGGTGTGGCACAATTGAGCTGTCAAATCCAGGGTGAGCCTAAACCTCTCCTGGAGTGGATTTTACCAGATGGAAGCAAAGTCCGAGCTCCTTACTCAAGTGAAGACCGGCGGATTATAATTTCTGCTGAAGGGATGCTGACTCTTCGAGGTGCCGATATTTCTGACACCGGCCTCTACTGGTGCATCGCCACAAACTACCTGGATGCGGATATTCTCATATTTCGGGTGACAGTTCTTTCTCCTGATGTGGAAGAGTCCGAGGTTAACGGTCTTCGGCTCTCAAAGTCACTTGGTGAAAATCTTATTTTTGACTGTGGCTCCTTTGGAAGTCCTGAGGTCTCAATTTCATGGGTTCTCCCTGACCATTCAGTACTGGACAAGTCTGTAGGACATAGACAAGTGCAGAAGAATGGCACACTGTTGATTCAGGGATTAACAGTGAGGGATAGAGGGTTTTATAGGTGTTTGGTTGCTAATTACCTGGGAGTTGACCTGCTTGTTTCTCAGGTGATACTTTCTGAAGAAAACCTTGAATCCACCACAACTTTGGACAATGAGGGATCAGGGATGGTAACGGAGGTCAAGACAGATTCTAGCCCAGCAGAGCATACAGTCAACCTCAGTGAGCTCACCTCCCCAAGTCCCAATGTGAAAACCAGTCAGAAATCCAGGACTATCACGTCAGATCGTCGTTTCCCAAGGTTGAGATCACAGGGTCGAGGAAATTCCCAAGGTAGACTGGGACAGAGAAGAGGGGGGGTTCACAGCAGACATATGTGGAGTAGCAGGGGGCTTGATAAAGCCTCCAGGAAAGTAGACCCACAGAAATTCGCTGAATTCATGAAAAAAGCACATGGAGCATCAATATTAAAGATGAGCTCAATGAGTGAGAGGGTAAAGCATGAAAACCCAGTAATAATTTTAAATGATGAAATCGGCTCTGGCGAGGGGCTTAAAGAGAACCATCTCAGTGTCGTGTCATGGGAAGTTAAACCAAGTGCCATGATAATAACAAGGACAAAGACAAGAGAGGATGAGATTTCAGTAACAACAAAGGCACAAACGTTTGCCGACATGGCAAATTCATTCAGTCATGACATTTATTCAAGTAACATGAAGGAGAATGCAAACTCGCCAACAACAGAAGCATACATGCAGTCTGATTCCACGTCAAAAGAGCAGATAGTTGTACATTTGCCAGGTCAGGTTGAGTATCGTGGACTTGAAGAATCCATTCAGTCAACCCTAGACATTGATCTGGTCACTCTTAAGTTTAGTACGACAGACAGTGAACAAGAAACTCAACTCAGCTTTTCAGGCAAACTCCCTGCAGAGACAGGGTCGACACAAACCATCACGACAGACCCCAACGTCACGCCAATAAGCGATGGCCCAGTGGAGCTTTTCATCCACACGGATCCAAAAAGCCGAACTACGTTTACAGCTATCACCACTGCAGAGAAGCAAGAGGATGAGATCACCTTCCACACAACTCAGACGATAAAATCCCCACAGCTTTCGGCAGGATCCACCATTCTGTCACAACAACAGATCCGAATAATTCCACACAAGGATGGCAAAGGAAGAGGCGGCAGGAGGATCTTGCACAGTCGCAGGAGAATCGTTAAACCCAACCGGATCACTGACATCCAGTCATTCATCAATAGATTTAGACACTCCACTATGAAGAAAGGAGACAACACTTCTTTGCCATATCAGGTTTACTTAACCACAGGTAAGACAGCTTGCTCTGGTGTCATACATTTTTAGGTTTGAGCTACATATTTCTAATATTTATTGCTCTATTTGTGATTTATTAATCTGTGCCTGTTCTCATCTTTTCTTAGAATGCGCCAAAGACAAAAGGGAGATGGCGACCACTAATGTGCAGCTCATTACTCCAACAGCTTTTTCCAGTCCATCTATGAGCAAAACACAGAACACGGAAACTCCTGCCCCACATGTTTCTACCACTGCAAAAGCCACCTTCAGCCATACTGAGTCAAGCTCAGATGATTCCAATGAGTACATAACGTCTGCTGATGCCCCTGAAATCAATCCACCTTTTGCCACCAAGAAAGCACGACCAATTACCAGCACAACAGCCACTACGACAACATCAAAGGTGATTCGTGGAAGGATTCCATGGAATAGGTTATTCGGAAGAGGAGAACAAGAAAAGATACTAAGCAGACTAAAGAAACCACAAACTCCACTGAAAACCTCCACGACACCTTTAACTAGATTACGGACCACAACCCCTGCTGCCATGCACACCACCAGCACGATAAAACATCCCAAACATGATACTCTGCCACCATTCATAATCACGCAGAGCAAAGAGAGTTCATTAGATGATGACTTTGAAGGCTTAGCATCGGCAGATTTTGAGCTTCCAACGAGGAGTCCTAACTACCATCCTGTAACTACTACAAGTTCATCTAATCCTAACAGATTTACCGCCACTTCTGAATCGCCACCAGGATTACCCTCCTTGCCTTCGCCACCTACTGTCAAACCACATTCAGTTGATCCTGATGAAGTCTTATCCTCTGGCTCTGGGGGGGTTTCTGAGAATGTGCTTATAATTTCACAGAGGCTTGGTACCAGAAGACAACAGGAGCGAAGAAGGAGGCCTTTTCGGGGAAGGAGGCCCTTCAGGAAACCTGAATTTACTCAAGTAAATTCAAAGGCAAATGTGGCTTCAACTGTAGAGGTTACCACAAAGGAGAATACAATTGAAGAAGCGCCACCACAACAGGCTGTTTCGTTTTACAAACCAAGAATCATGCCACCCAGAAAAACGGACATAACCACAGAACCTGCTTCCACGGAGCAAACAAAAGAGACTGACTTGTATGGCAAAAATGGTTGGACTTCTAGTGATTTATTTCCTGATACTCCATTTATTATCTCATCTGTTACAACATTGATGCCAGGTACCACAAAACTGCCTCATACAACTTCTCAGACCAGATTACACAGCAACATTAAACCACCAATGCATAGCAGCAATGGTGGCATACCTCACAGATCACCAGCAAGGAGAGTCAGACCTACTGCAGAAAGTAGTGCCGGCAGAAGCAGCGTCGATAAACCCATTAACTTTGACACAATTACCATTTTCACAGAAGGGCAACGGCATGGTGTTCACTCTTCATACAGCAAAGACATCCAGAAAACTAATTCCCCTACTTATTATCATCTTGCTGAAATGATATCTACAACTACCAGTACTGCTCAGCTGAACCCCACCGCACAGCCCATGCCAAGCAAGCCAAGGATAGTTGGGGGAAATGCAGCTAGCTTCACTGTTTTATCAAATTCAGATGCTTTCCTGCCGTGTGAGGCTGTTGGAAATCCAAGTCCTGTTGTTACCTGGAAACGCTTCTCTTCAACCACAGGTAACGTAAATGTCATACTTTTGAGTTACATTTTTTAAATAAATGAAAATAAGTCTTTTGGTGAAATAAATAAATAAAATCAGTCTTAAAAACATTTTTAAGGTGTGATTGGGCTTTTGAATTTGGCAAACTCGTCGAATACGCACAGTTGCAGGAAAATGAACACATTTTCACAAGAAATGACATTAAAGTGGTCAATTTAACACTTTTGCAAGATGGTTTATTCATGACCAGTCTAAACTACAGTTTATTACCCATAACTGCACATAAATTACAAGAGTTACACATTTTGCAAATTTTCTTCCATGTCTTCTCAGTTTAGTCACAAAATGTCTAAACCACAGTGTGTTATTAATTCAACAAGTTTGAGATGGCTTTCAGACACACAGGATGTCTACTTTGGTAAAAAAGTGATCATGTCATTTTTAAACCATGGTCAAAATATAAGATCCATAAAAGTAAGGCCCTGAGATGAATGCTAGGACACTCAGAATTCTAACAAACTCCCTCGCTAATGCAACTTTTTTTTTGCCAACAGCCATGGCCCAGTGATATTGTCTTAGGCATTCTGTTAAATTGATGCTAGGCAAATGAATCTTCTATACACATTTTGTAATGATTCAAATGACACAACTCTGTGTTTAGTGTAACTTTCATATGTTTTTAATATGAATGTTTCTCTTGTTTTTGCTTTTTTGTCCTTTAGGTGGTACAATTTTGATCAAGGACAAGATGGGAAAGTTTGAGGTGCTGAGCAGTGGAACCTTGACCATACAGAATGCCAACATTAAGGATCGTGGCCAGTATCTGTGTTTTGCTGAGAATGATCATGGATCAGATAAACTTCTTGTAACACTCTCTGTGGTAGCCTATCCATCACGCATCCTAGAGCCAAAAATAAGAGACATGAAATCTCATACAGGAAACAGAGTGGAGATGAAATGTAAAGCTGAAGGCCGCCCTAAGCCTATGATTTCTTGGATCTTAGCAAATAGGACTCAAGTTAGGGGTCAAAACACAGAGAAAGGAAGAGTGTCCGTGTCTTCTGAGGGGACATTGGTCATCGAACATGTATCTGTTTATGACAGGGGTTATTACAAATGTATTGCCAGTAATCCGGCCGGAGCAGATACAGCTACAGTACGACTACAAGTGGTTGCAGCACCACCAGGCATTGTTGAGGAGAAGCGCCAGCAGCTGAGAGCTAATTTGAGCCAAAGCTTGTGGCTGCCTTGCAGCAGCTACGGTACCCCTCGTCCCACTATTCACTGGGTGCTCTATGATGGATCAGTGGTTCGATCTAACCAAAACCCTAATGGAAACAGGGTATCACTTTATGAGAATGGAACACTTCTCATAAAAGATGTGACTTCGGCAGAGAGTGGGAAATATGAATGTATTGCTACTAGCTCTACTGGTTCAGAGCGAAGGGTGGTGACTCTGTCAGTAGAAAGAAAAGAATCTGCACCCCATATACTAGAGACATCTGAAAACATGACAGAGTTGTCCTATGGGGATCATTTGAGACTTCACTGTTCAGCAGAAGGAGACCCTAAGCCAAAGATCTTCTGGAAGTTACCGTCTAAAGCTGTTGTTGACTATTGGCACAGGTAAAAAGTTGCATGCTGGCTGGGAGAATATGTAACTTTCATTAAAAATAACAAATTACCCATGCAAGTGTGGGGTGAAAAAATAATGTATTGTCCTTGATTTTATTTCCATTTATATAGTAACAGTGCTGTATCAATAATATACAGTACTAGTCAAAGATTTGGACACTGCTACACTTTCGGAACCAGTGGGTACTGCATGTGTAATACATAATGTTTTCTTCTTAATTTCTTTAGGATGGGTAACAGAATTCAAGTCCTGCATAATGGCACACTTGCTGTTAACACAGTTAGCGATAAAGATGCCGGAGATTACGTCTGCGTGGCACGAAGCACCGCTGGAGATGACCTTCAGCTCACGAGAGTCACCGTGTCAATGAAGCCAGCCAAAATAGCACCAAAACTACATAGGAAGAAGCAAGTACCTTATGGTAATGACTTGAAAGTAGACTGTAAAGCCTCAGGGGCACCGAAACCAGAGATCACATGGGGTCTACCAGATGGTACAGTAGTCAACAGTGCTTTTCAGTCTGATGCTAGCTATGGAGGAGGACGGACACGTCGATATACTCTGTTTGATAATGGGACTCTATATCTAAATCAGGTACACAATTTAATCAGTCATAACACCAAACAATCAAACTGATTAAATTTAACGCCAATACCATATTTTTATAGGTTAGCACGTCTGAAGAAGGAGACTACACCTGCTATGCTGAGAATCGGGTTGGGAAAGACGAGATGCATGTGCATATCACAGTAGTGACAACTGCCCCCAGGATTCACTCACCAAGCCAGACTTACGCCAGGTTGAAGCCTGGTGGAAATATTCGCTTTGACTGTGACGCATTTGGAGAGCCCAAGCCCAAGATCCTGTGGAAGCTTTCTAATAATGATGTGATAGCAGCCTCTAGTGAGCGCTACCTAATCCACGTCAACGGGTCGCTGGATATCAGGAATGTGAAAGTCACCGATGCAGGGGAGTATGTCTGTATGGCTCGCAATCCAGGTGGAGAAAACAGACAAACGTACAAGTTGGACATAGACGGAAATCCACCGTTCATCAATGGATATCGACAGAACAGGACTGTAATACAGGATGTGGTCAAAAAACACTCCAGGAAACTTATAGACTGCAAAGCTGAGGGTAATCCCACCCCCACTATCACTTGGATTATGCCTGATAATATTTTCCTGACAGCACCATATTTTGGCAGTAGGATTAACATTCACAATAATGGGACACTAGAAATTGTTAATGTGAGGCCCACTGACACAGGTGAGTTCATTTGCTTAGCAAAAAATGATGGAGGAGAGGCAGTAATGATAGTGCAGCTTGAAGTTACCAGTGTCCTTCAAAGGCCAATCTTCAAGAACCCTTTTAATGAACGCGTTGTATATCGAGATGGGAAAACCGCAGTTATAAATTGTTCTGCTGATGGGTTTCCTATTCCAGAGATCTTTTTGATTTTGCCAAATGGAACAAAGATTACGAGTATATCCAGGCATGGACCTCGTCACCAACTACGCAGTGATGGAACTTTTGCCATCTACAATACTCTTGAAGAAGATTCTGGAAAGTACCGCTGTGGGGCCAAAAACTCCTTGGGCTACATAGAGAAGCTAGTAATTTTGAATATTGGAGAAAGGCCCTACATCATAACTAGGCCTAAAGGCATCATCCGTGGTATGTTTGGGGAGCCCCTGTTCCTTCACTGTCTATCTGATGGGAGTCCCCCGCCCAGAATCTACTGGACCATTCCTGCTGGTCACACTCTAGCTCAACCCCAAAAACTTGGAAGGTACAACTTGTTAGAAAATGGAACTCTAGTTGTTCAGGACACTACTATCCACGACAGAGGAAGCTACACCTGCAGGGCTCATAACAATGCTGGGGATGCGGTCCTCACTGTCCCTGTTATTATTAGTGCTTACCCTCCAAGAATCACAAGTGGACCACCTCCCAGCATAAGGGCAGTGACAGGAACGTTGATCAAACTTAACTGTGGTGCCACTGGAATCCCAAAGCCAGACATCACCTGGGAGCTTCCAGATCATTCAGTTCTATCTGCAGCAGAGCAGGGAAGGTCTATGGGGAGTGAGATGCTCCACCCCCAGGGCACACTTATCATCCAAAAACCCAAAGTGTCAGACTCTGGCAGATATACATGTTTAGCCAAGAATCCCCTTGGTACAGACTCAAAGGTAACATTTGTGCATGTTCTTTGAGAGAAAGCAGTTCATGTAAATGTCACCAGATATGTAGTTGCCATATTTAATTTCTCTGACATCGAATTTGTGTTGATGAAAGATGAGAAATGTTGGTGGTCAAAATGAGAGGTTTATTTTTCAGAGTTTGGAAATCTCTGGAACTGATCATCTGGAAAGTACAATTTAATTGTAGTTTCTGTTTAACTGAGAGGTAATTGGTGCAAATATGCCAAAACCAGTGTACATTTTGTGGCTGGATACTTTGTTCTGTATTACATGCATGGATAGGAAGACATCACACTGATATAAAAAAATGGGTAAATTAAGTGTCCATAAAGGTTCTAATTCCCTGTATATATTTTCAGAGTAAATTGCTTTAGATGACATTTACACTCGGGTCAGCTCAGTCTGGGCCCGGTAGGGGTAATTGTGTTTTCATTGGCGTTATCTGAGCGTTGTTCATGCAGAGCCAACTGGTTTTTTGACCCTACAGCCCTGCGGTCCCTCTTATGCTGACCCGACCATACATCTACGGACTGATTGGCTGACTGATGATCACGCCTACCTACTAGTGGGAGCTTCTGATTGGCACAGACTGAATCAGCCAGCAGTGGCTTCTCACATGCATTATTCTTTAGCTATCTGGATGCAGCGTGGTAAACATCTCCTGCAGCATGGATTTGTCGCTCTGACCGCGGGAGCACGTGGACTGACCGTCTCCTGTGAGCGCTCTGGCAGAGGAGCCCATGGCTGCACTGCTGCTCAGTGAGAAGAGTGTGAAGCTGCGTGCTTCATGTCAGAGTCTCCAAAAGCAACACTGCTCACACAACACGGTCCCACCCGGCCTAGGCCGAGATGATCATAGTGTAAAACCTTATTAGTTGTTGTTTCATTAGTTGTTCTAGTCTGCCCTTAAACACACTTCTTCAGCATTGCCTTCCCTCTGTGACACTTAATATGAAACTCCAGTACCAGTTTTACTTTTCTTAACTTTTTATGATTCAGTAGCTCACCTTTTAACAGCTTGCCCTATCTTGTTGCTCTTTTCTGCCAATTTAAATGTTTTTTTATCACTTGCTACATAATTTATTTCAATGGATAGTGCCGTTATCTTTGACCTGTTCTCTTATCCTTGAAGATTTATGCAAAATCTCTATGCATTTAATCAGATTTCCATGTTTTCCCTTAGAATTGCTGATATGTTCGAGCATTTGGCTCTTTTATGTACAGCATTTTGGTTAGTTTTAAATGGTGCTTTATAAATAAATTTGTATGGTATGGTATGGTATGGTATGGTATGGTATGGTATGGTGTTGTATGGTATTTGAGGGCAAACTGAAATCATACTTGGTAAAAAACTATGGTCATTCATTTGATTTAGTTGTCTCACACTGAAGGCCTATTTGTAAGGGTATACGATTGTGTCAAACCAGAATTTGATTCTTTTACCACAGCTTTTGTATTTTTAACTCTAATAAATGCATTAATTATGAAATCTATACCTCTAGGCTAATACATACTAATACTAATGAAATGACTTAAACATGTGAAGGAAGTCATGTCTGTGGCTTAAGTTTAAATTTTCTAGACAACGTTTGAGGTTTCCAGCTGTGAAAATAGCTACTCACCCATTCCTCGGTGACTGGGACCAACAGGGCAGCCTTGTAGTCTTGGTGTGTTTACTACCAAAGAACAAAGTCAAAAAGTGAAGTCATATAGTTTTATTTTCTAAAAGAATTTCTAATTTTGGTCACAAATGACAGTCACCTACACTCTTGCTTTTTGCCCTAAAGCATTATTTAAAGACATTTTGTTACAAAACACACCATATGCCCTGAGAACAACAATCATAAATTAATTTGCATGGTTGATGGCACACCTCCTCAAAAGTTCTGCAAGTTGTCAGTAATTAATAAAAAGCAGCTAGAACATAAAAAATGATAATTATATTTTTTCAAATGGTTGTGTAAAGAGCAAGTCACCCCAATCAACTTTTTTTCTGATAAATTATATATGACATTTAAATATTCTGCCTAAAACTGTCAGTGTTGTGCCGTTGTCAGGTAAAAACTCTGCACTGCATTTGAATTTAAATCTGCCATCGCTATTAGCTAAGAGGTACCCTAGAACAATAGCTGGTACCATATGACATCACAATGTAGTTGTGAGCCTGTGTGTGTGTGTGTGTGTGTGTGTGTGTGTGTGTGTGTGTGTGTGTGTGTGTGTGTGTGTGTGTGTGTGTGTGTGCGTGCGTGGCACAGCTCCATGAGCCGCTCCAGTCACCGCGTCTCGTTATTGGCGCTATTTAAAACAATGTTGCTAAATTACTTCTGCCCAGCCCAGATGTGCTCACTTGTGCACCCGTGAGCCGTGGTTCCGCTGGATCGCGTCTGACCTCTGACAGACGCACTCTGAACTTCAGATCTTCAGCGAGCTGTTAATAGCCTGACACGTTTAGAATGCTGTCCCACAGTCAGTGTGCTAATATAATAATATAATAATGCTAAAATGCTCCGATGGGAATCACTTCTTGATTCATTTTGTTACATCCACAATGTTCTGTGTGTGAGGTTTACAATGTCAGAACACCTGCATGAGACAGGGTGTTAATTACAATCTGCCAGAATGACTCACCACCTTCAGATTCCTCCAACACCGATACAAATGATCAAACACGGAACATATCTTGCTATTGACAGCGTGCGCAGGCCAGAGTGCTGAAGCTCGGCGCATTATTATTATGAAGCTATGGGCACATGTGGAGGACACACACGCGCAAAAATATACTTGTTTTAATTACATTTATTGGGCCCACTTACTTTTCTTAGGCCCACCCACAAATGAGTTTCTGGCTACACTAATGGTGACATATGACAGACTTCTCTGAGCTCCGCAGCCATTACAATTTTCACCTCGCGCACCCCCTAGCGGCAGCTTGCGCACCCCCAGGGGTGCACGCACCACACTTAGGGAATCCCTGCACTAACCAATGATTTGGGGGGGGGGGGGGGGGGGGGGTCATTCTCTTTTCTGTGGTCGCTGCTACTTTAGTAAACCTGTTGGTAGATTCATGGAAGCTTACACTAAAACATATTTTTCTGCACCCCCTCCATTGTGGTGCATAATGATAAAGGCATAATTAACTTGCAGGGGCTTTCAGTGCCAAACAGCTGCCATTTAATGGAGACTTGAGTCCATATGTTAGAATTTAAATATGTATGTTTCAAAAAATCATCAGGGATTTCAGGAAAAGTATTTTTTCCAAATATTTGAGCCATTCCAGAGCCGTGCGAAATGACCCAGGCAAAAATGGGAGGAGAGGGAATTGCTCTCCATAAACTTTGGAATGCAGGCTACTCGTTAAATATTTGAGAAGTGCTTTCATATGTGAGCCGAACAACAATAAAACACAAATCAATGTAATTGCAAAGAACCACAAACTCTAAAATCACCTTAAAACGTTAAAAACAGTATATCATTTCTCCCCTGTGTCCTGCAGAAGGTGTAGAGTTTATTTTCAATAATATGGGGCATTATGGAGAATTTCAGACTTGGAATTTTCTCAGCATGCTTTTCTTAGGTCACCTTAAAAGTAAACAAAAATCACTTTTTTATTTTCAGGTACAAATTTGCAGCTGTCATACTGACGTAGCACACAACAATTCTGTTTAGCTATGGTTAGTACTTCCTGACAGTCTCCACCTCTGACTGATGAGAAACGGTCAGCCCGCGACACCAATAGAATACAAACAAAACAAAAACCCGTTGGTAGATTTCCTGTGAGGAGAATTCTTGTGAAAGGGAGAAAAGTGAGAATCAGAGGAAAGGAAAGGAAAGTTTACTGAGTGGATAGACGGCGGAAACCAGAGTGAAGTGAGACATACTTTTGGTTTGTGGAATGAACTCCGTATAGTTCTTTCTGAACATGGAGACAGGAGAGGGTAGCTGGTAGTCTGATTTCAGACAGTAACCCGCTGTTTTCACGAGAATCTGACAATCTGTCTTTTCCCTCTGGAGCCCAAATCTTGGCACCTCAAAAGGCTGAACTAGGTGAATATCTTGTTTCTTCCTTTACTAAAACCAAACAAATGATAGCAAATTCCTCATTAATGGCCTTCATGTATACCCAAACACAACGCTGGCATCTCTGTCAGTGACAATAATCTCATTGGAATTTCTCACAAGCAGCATAGAATCCACACCTCAGCCTTCCAGCCACCTTTTCACGTCTCTACAAGTTTGGATTTGTCAATCTATGGCCATGGTTCCATGTTTCTGGATCTTTTACTTGAGCCCTTAGTTCGAATTTATGAAAAATATGGCCATACATTGGCAGTAATGTATGACAAGCACAGTTGTACTTGTCACTGCTTTCTGATGAACTGCTGTATTAAATTCAAGTGTAAATGGTCCAAGTGTTGGTCATACAGTACCGTAAGTACTGCACAGTAAGCCTCTGACCTGTTTACAGCGTTATTGTGTTGTATTTACCTTCCAACAGAGCCAAGTCTTTAAGCTGAGGGTGGTGGAGGCCCTTTGTTTCTTTAAATTGATTGGTTGCAGATGTGGCTTTTGGTCCCTAAAGATTTTCCAGATGGACTGGAACACGCCACCACTGTATACCTAACCTCTGCCACTTTAGTCACGTGTACATAAACTAAAACTGAAACATCAAAGCTCCACATAATGATTGAGTCTTGAAGAGTAGAAATCTTGTAAATGAGCCAACTCGACCCACCGGCTGCATGGACAGAGGGGCTCTGCTACCAACAGCACAAACATGTTTATCTGATACAGGTGGTGTGGAAGCATCACAAGTCCATACCTTCTGGTGAAAGGAAACTTCTTGTAAACACTAACTGTGTAAGTGTATGACATAGCAGCCCTGCTAAGTATGCGATGCAATCACAGTAGTTTAAACTGTGGCTGTCTCCCCCTGTTTCACTGATTCCTTTAAATTCCAATCAGATTGTTATAAATGTAGGAAAATGACGCCAAAACTGGAAGAATGATGGGAGAGAGTCGTTTTGACAAACTGTGTTTGTTTATTCAGACACGTCAGCAGTCAAGAATTCCTTCATGCTTCTGAAATAACATTTATTATATCGCTCTGCAGTAAAGCTCCCATGTATTCTCTAAGAGCTGACACTCACAGTCACTGGACACCAATGATAGCATTGCATATGCGCCGTCCGTAAGATTTCGTTCATCCTTATTATAGCAAACACCAAGAATTACTCAAAATTACCATTACTATAAACACTTTTTCACTGTATAATGCCACAAACGTGTCATCCTAATGGGTAACCAACAGATGGCATCAACAGTCCAATGAGAAAACATCAGTCATTCTTGGAGCTGGCCAAATACACAACATGTATTTACATAGGAAATATTTCAAAAAAGAAATATGGAAAACCAAGCAACAAGATTTAAATGGTGGAACTTTGTTGAACCTGTAAACAGTTTAAGAGGTTTGTATTCACACACATTTACATGACACCATCTAAATCACCTGCTGTGGCTTGTCTACCTTACATAAGTAATTGCACCCTGAGATCACATGGAAAAAACACCATGGGCAGCTCAAATTTCAGTTATTCTTACTAAACAACATTTAGATAATAAGAACTGCTCAAGACGTTTTAAACAATTGCCCCTCGGGGATGATTAAAGTTTTTTTTTATCTGAATTTGAATTTGAAAGTGTGTACTCAGAAAGCTAATCCTGCACAGAAATAAAAAAAAAGATTTAAAATTACTTTAAAGGTGTAATATGTAGGAATTAAGTAAAAAAATGACATCCTGTGGTTGAAATTGGTGCAGGCGCCAGGCTGCAAATTTTTTCTCATACTTGCTGCTGCATGGCACTGCACGGCATGCAGTACTGGATTGGTCCACTGGAGGGCACAGTAGAGAACTCCGGCTGGAAAAAGAGCTGGGGTTGTGGGGTGCAACCAAAACAATCATGGCGTCAATAGAAGAAATCAATAACTGGTTAATGTTGAGATCACGGCAACAGGACAGCAGCGTTGTCGTCGATGGTATGAAAGGTCTCTAAACCAGAGACGGACTCACCGTGATGAGTGTGCCTTGCTCGTTTTTCAACTCAATCCTTTATTGTTAACTTTATTAAAGTTGAATCTGTTTGCACACGGATGAATTCTGCATTGTTCAAACCCATTGGCTTTAGTTCTTTCTTTGGTTCTCTACGTTTATTTCTTCTACACCTTTCACCCACTGTAGTGAATAATGACTTGAAGCGGCACCTCCTGTCCCTTGGC